GGTGATCCCGGCGGCGGCGGGCGAGGCGGCGCGCGAGGCGAGCCAGGCGGCGCGCGAGGCGAGCCAGGCGGCGGCGCGCGAGGCGGGCCAGCAGGCGGCGCTGCAGCGCAAGTTGCTGGACTCGTCGCCCGACACGCTGCAGCAGCAGGAGTCGCTGAGTATCTCGGGCCAGTCGGCGCGCCACCTCGTCATGCAGCGCCTCATGCGGCGCCGCGCCAGTCGCACCGTCCTGCTCAGCAACATGGTGGAGGCCGAGGAGGTCGACGAGGCCCTGCACCACGAGATACAGGAAGAGTGCTCCAAGTGGGGCCGGGTCGAGAGGCTCGTCATATACAACGAGAGCCAGAACGAGGACGACGACCCCGCGCACGCCAACGTCAAGATCTTCGTACAGTTCGCCGAGCCCGACGGTGAGCGCCAAACATCAATATTTATTCAGTCAAACAGTCAGAAAGAGGCACACCAATGATCTATTTTCACATTGATATTTAATAAAATATTCTACAATTTATTTACAAAATATTCTAAGAAGGAACATCGAAACTCGAATGTTCTAAAAATGTATTGAAGAGAACCCCTTACGGTAAAACAGTGCATAGAGATCGAAAAATCTTTCGATCATCTTTATTGATACTTGTATAGCGAAATCCTTCATAGTATCTATTCACCTCTCTTTTGTTTAATCTCTCGTTTCCTATTCACCCCATTTTACGGTGCTCAAGTGAAATAATTAAGAATCTCGCCGAGTCACTGACCGTGTCCTGTCCACAGAGGCCATCGCGGCGGCGGGCGCGCTGAACGGGCGCTACTTCGGCGGGCGCACGGTCCGCGCCGCGCTGTACGACCAGGACTTGTTCGACCACGGGGACCTCTCCGGCTAGCTACACCCGCCTCGCTAGCGCGGGGGCTTATACATAACTTCTAATGTGATAATTCTTTCGATTAAATACTGCTCATTCGTACGTCTCGCTTATTCTTTTTTCGATTTGAAAAACTTGCTATTTGATTATTCAAATAGTGAATTATGACTATTCAGTGTTTCTATTCATGCCTCAGAGATCAACAAGTGCTTTCATACATACCGACTTTTATATTTTTTGCTGATGACTTGCAACTGTCAGCTACTACTATCTCGACACCTGACGATGGTCTGGCACTCCAGGCGCATTTGCATCGGCTTGTGAAAGTATTGTCGGCATTCATATACATGAAAAGTATTGTCGCCATTGTCGGTTTAATAAACTAGACCTCAACCCGTCTAAATGTTCCGTAGTGACTTACTGTAGAAAGTGTGCTGTCCTTACCATTAATTATACTGTGGCGGGTCAGCCCTTACCGAAGTGCACTACTATCCGTGACCGAGGCGTCCATCAAGTCGGTAAATTAGTCTTTGACACACATCGATACAATTTTCAGAAAAGCCTCTAAATTGCTTGGATTCATAATGCGTCTTTCGAAAACCTTTACTTATGCAACCCTTAAAATTCTATATTGCACTTATGTCAGGAGCCAGTGGCGTGCACAGGTTTTCGAGACAGGGTAGGCAACTAAATATCGTATGATTAAACCCCCCCCCCGTCGGTCATACAATCATGCTCACACAAGATAGGTACATGTACATAATACATTTCGAAAAGTGCGTTCAAGAATATTGTGGTGTATTCTTTCGCCAAATTACATACACTGACATCTCGCGTATTTTTTGTGAAGTACTTCATCAGCTATTGAATAAACCAACAAAACTTACAAATAATGAAAGATCTATTATTTATTTTAATAATGAAGCATAAATTTGATGAACCAAATTTCATTATGGAATTGTTAAATTTAATCAATCTGTTCAAAATCATAATATATTACGAATTTAAGAGCGTAGGTACCTACATTATGTCAACAAATTAAATATTTACAATACCTACCTTTTACTTGGGTCAATTCTCGTAACTCGAGTACACCTCTGCCTATGGTCATTACCTGAATCTAGTCCGATAAAGGACATTTTCTTGCGAAATCTTACTGTTTTTACAACACATAAAATTACATATTATTCACACACTTCACAATCGAATAATATAGGTACTATTTTATCAGTTACGTATAAACAAATACACTATTTGAAAAACCTACACATATATTTAACTACTACTACACATTTATGCAACTTTATGTTTAAAACAAATTCCTAATAATTTAAACGAAAACATAAACAAAGCGATCGCACATCACATGAAAACAATATGGCCGAAAACATTGGAAAAGAATTGAAGTCATTACCAATAGTCAATTGAGTGTTAATTATAAAAAAAATTTAGCTTAAAAATTAAGGTAATGCAGCGTTTAATTTCAAAAAAACAAAGGTTAATTTAGTAAGTCAAATTAAATTGCATCATCGTCTTAAACCAATACGTCATACTAAAAAACATTTATTCATATAATTTGAAACGTTGTAAATGGCGCCATCTTGACGTTTCAATAACTTCCTTTTAACTTTTATAATAATAAAGTCAACTCCTCGTTTAAAATTTTTATAAACCGACAACGCGTAAAAATGTTAAGTTTTAATTAAAACACTTGAAACATATTTGTTAAATACGCATTTAAAAAAATACATTCGCATTATATCGAACGAGTTCAGAAGTTTCAACAAAAAATTCAATAGAGTGCGCTGGTGTACTCCATTCATCAGTTCTTTACGATATACAGATTTTATCAATTTAAAACCGTTTATGATTTAATTGTTTTTAAAAATACAATAACTTGTTGCTGTTTTATTGTTTTAGAACTCTTAATAAAATACGATCGTTTTCCAAGTGATGAACGAACGGTCCTCTAATTTTTTAGTTGGCAACATTTTGTCAAGCAACAGGAATCGTGTAATATAATTATGAATGGTTATTCTGTCTGTATTGACTATGGTCGTGAACTTCACGCTGTTCACGCATGCGCGGTGCATACTATTGGTACATTACTTTTGTGACGTCACAACTAGCAACCAAGATTTAAGGAATAGTAGCGCATGCGTGGTGCGTGCGGGGCGCATTCATTGCTTTACAAAGGCGCGTATTTATGTTAGCCGTTTTTTTACAAACTTTTATTATACTATTGAATTTTAATAAACACGTTTGTATATTTTATCTATGTTATATATTCACGATATTTATAGGTAGGCAAAGCGTTTTCGCCTATATGGACAGCACGCCACTGTCAGGAGCCAGCTGGAGTATGCGTCTCAGATGTGGATTCCAAGAGATCAGAAATATATTGATCGCGTGGAAACGCGTATTCAAAAACGTTTTATAAAACATATGTTTTTTATTTATTTATTTATTTATTTATTTATAAATTCATGGAGGACTTACAGCATATAAAAATGGATAAAAATAACAATAGGCGTAGGTAACATTGAGCCCCAATAACAAGTCCTCACGTTTAACATTTGAAATAAATTAATTAATATGGTGTGAGTACTATACAATATTAAAAATACATACATTCTGCGTAAATGGAAAAAAATAAATATTGAAACAGACCGTACAGACAATATGATTATGAACAGATCAAGAGAAACGATAAAAAAAAAAACTAAAGATTTAGTGCTGCTTAAAAAATTTAAGGCTTAAGCACCTCTTTGCCGAGTTCACACTAGTTGTAAACGGATCGAAGTCATATTCCTTACAAACATTGTTAAAGTGTCTGCTTGCACGCATAATGTAACTGTTCTGCCTGTAGTTAGATGAGGAACGGGATACGTGTAAAGGTGGATTAAATCAAAATATTTTATCAGGTACATTAAATTTGATTTTTGATAATAGTTCTGGACTATCCACCAAAAGATACCATATCAGTCTGCCCGTTATCTTGAACTCTGTAGAGACATCAATCTGTTACCACTAGTAGATCGACGCAATATGGCAGGTTGTTTATTCTTGTTGAAAGTTCTCAATGGCAATATGGATAGTCCTGAACTACTATCAAAAATCCTTTTTCAATGTGCCTAGTAAATAGTAGATTTAATCCACCTTTACACGTGTCCCGTTCCTCATCTAACTAGAACAGTTACACGCTGCGTGCAAGCAGACACTTTCAACTATATTTGTAAGGATTTATTTATAAAGGTGATGACTTGTAATTGGCTCACCGATACCTGTGCTTATGTTGTACTTGTTGTTATTTTTAATTGTTTTTATCAGCTGTATAAGTCTTCCATAAATATAAACAAATAAATTATATGAAGATCGATGTGATGTAACTGAGCTGACCAAAGGCCTCTTCTCGCACGAAGAAGGTTTGATGCGGGTTGGCAATTTTAAACTCATAATTAGAAATTAAGTCCAGGGGGCTTACTCTTGAATTCAATTCCGATCGATCGACATTGACATTCTGAAATTTCGTACTCTTGACACTAGCGCCTATTTTTTTTTTATTTTTTTATTTATTTTTTTTAAGGGGGGAAAATCATCGAATGATCCTATAGCTCATAGCATCCATATTGCGTGGATATTGATTGAACTAAATGGTATTGAGTTTGGGTTTATATTCCGTACTCTAAATGTTTTTAACAGCTACGACTGTTGTTGTATAGTGTTGACATTGAATAATTATTGTGATATTATTGGATTGAAATTGCATTAACATTGAGATTGGTTTCAAGAGTAAGCGCCCTGGTGGCCTCACAATGGTTTCCTTCACCGTTTGTCAGTGGTGTCTAAATACTGTTAGAAAGTACATATTATAACTCGGAAAAAGTCACATTGCTACTTGCTGTTGGTAGGTTTCGAACCCGCACCCACGTTCATGAGAAGCGAGCGTCTTAGCCTCCGGGCCACCACGACATTTTTAACAAACCACAGCGCAACTTTTTAATCTCGAAAAGGTAACTTCACGCTCGTTAGATGGCGTAGGTGTCGTAATAAACCGCGCTATAGTTTCGTTCCTAAAAGTTAGGGTCCACCCATTTAATTATTATTATAGCCATTATTCACTGAACCGGAGCTACCTCTAACTTTATTAATACTGAGTTCAATGTAGTTCAACCCTAGACCCTATATACAGTGGTTGGTTTCTTGGTTTGTGGTTTCATTCATTTAAAAACCCAAGTAAACACAACTTGTCTACAGCCTTGCAGTTGCAGCCTTGGCCTTAAGTACTAACTAGTAACTAGTAACTAGATGTAACGAATGTCATACTTTGACAATCGCGAATATCTGTAGACAATATTCGCGAATACGAATACAATACGAATCAATTATAATGCCATTTTATACAACAATAGAATAAATAATTAAAAGAAAGTGGTATATTAAAAAGCCATTATTGTTTCACTTGAACGAAGTCGCGTGCATAAATGAAGTTGAATAATTGTAACTATATATATAATTATATAGCTATTTCGACGCGGTTTACTCGGCTTCTATCGACCGTAGCGTGATGTTTTATAGCCGTGTAGCCTCCATCGATCCATGAACTATCTATCTAACACCATAATCCAGAGATTAGCGCGTTCAAACGAACTATAGCGACAAGATACATCACCATAGCGCAACCACCATACCTGACCTGCGGCAGAAACAGATTACATTACCATACCGCGCCGTACAAAGTTTTCGTCAAGTTTTCTTGAACTTGAGAGTCAAAAACGATGGTAACGGTTGGTTCTTCACGGAGGTACGGTAATGGTAATCTGGTTCTGACAGATTAGAGGTAAGGTAAGGCATGGTGTGTGCGGTATGGTGTCGCTATAAAACAAACTCTTTAGTTTTCACTACATAGTATAAGTATAAAACAAAGTCACTATACGCCGTCTGTCTGTCCCTATGTATATGCTTAGATCTTTAAAGCTACGCCGTTGCGTATCGCATACAAAATAACCGTTTTTTTAAATAGATAGAGTGATTTTTAAGGAATGTTTATATCTTATACTATTATATAAAGCGAAAGAGTTTGATTTTTTGTTTGTTTGTTGTTACTACTAGTCTGATTTGAATAATTCTTTTTGTGTTGGATAGCGCATTTATCGAGGATGGCTATAAGCTATAAAATATCACGCTACGACCAATAGGAGCTGTGCAGAGCGTGTAAAACCGTGCGGAAGTAGCTAGTATATAAGTATAATCCGTGTATATTCCACCCGTGCGAAGCCGGGGCGGGTCACTAGTACCTATATAATATGTATAACTCGAAAACGTCACGTTGTTATGTTATTGACTAGGTTCTGAACCCATGCCTACATGCTCGAATTGTATAATGTACAGTCACACTGAGGTATCGAGGTATCTAGCAGTTCGACTGAAGTGTGTTGCCAGTTGGCAAGTATGTAAACTGAGAAGAGGAGGCAGAGTGTCGCGGTCTCGAGCGAGGGGAGAGCGTGTGTGAGCGGGACAGCTGGTAGTACGTACGAGTACGACTGCTTCAGCTACTAACGGCTCAGCTGGGCGGCGCGGTGGCAGCGGGCGATGTACTGCGGATGTATTAGTAGCGTGGAGCGCGGAGCTTGCGCGGGCGCGTGATCCGGTACATATTATCTGTGAGTTATGTGTTGCGCGACACCCGGGTTTCAAGTGAATTGCCTACTTTGTTGGTCAGGCGAAACATTCAAATTGAAAAAAAATCTGTGCGGACGTTGTGTAAATGGATAATTGTGATTATTGCTGTGGCACACTCGGTACCCACAGACAATATAAGGTAAACAAGATAAACATACAAACATGATTATAAATTAATAAGTTTAACAAAATTTCAGTGCGTGGTGTATAGTAATAATACACTCATTCGCCCTTATTACATTGTATCTACAAATAATTATATAGTGGAATGGTGTTACTTGGTGATATACCTAACAGAAATACATAAAACCGACCAATTGCGAGTCGGATCCGTACACGAAGGATACCTATTATTATTCATTATCTATAAACATCTTATTCTTGCTGCGGTCCTTTATGTTCTCAACTCATCGTCTTAAGAGGTAGGTAGAGACTCTCACCATTTTTCACTTTCACCATCTATTTTATCAATTCGTATAATAATATAAAAACAAGTCCCATATAATATAGGAAAGGATCCTATATTGCTATAAGTAATGGCGCAATCCCAGACCCAGACTCCGAGCGGTTACCCACCCATTGCAGACAGATAAGGAAGTCGGTCCCTTTGCGACTCGGAAACTAGTGATTCTGAAACATTTCTCCGACATTCGTTTCGCCGTTGATCGGTTCACCGACAGAACGATTCACTTTTGAAAATTACATCAACAGAACCTTTCACCGTCATGCGATTCGCCGACACAACTGTTCATCTGCTCCTGGGTTATAAAACATAGGTATTCGACATGTAAACTTCATAGGATACTTATTTTGTATTACATAAATGAGAAATATGAGCCCAGCCACTTAAGTAGGTTTTTATGGACATAAGTATCCTATGAAGTACCTATATAATTGTTTTTGTTAATCATAGTTGATTTGTTATGTTTTTGTTTTGGTTTTAATCATGTCGGTTACCTATTTGTTATTAAATAAATTATTTTCATTTGAAAATATATTTTAGTTAACCTAACAAAACGTATATATAACCATATCATGTATGATACCTACATGTATTGACGTTGAAGCAAATACGTTTTTGTTTTGTTTTGTTCAAGTTTTGCATAAAACTAAGTTTCGTCTTCATAACTTGATTCAGGTGTAAACAACAAACGGTAACAGGTCTATACATAATATGTCGAATTTTTTTTTTTAATGGGGGAAATTCATCTAATGGCTGCTCCCGCCTGGGTGAGGCGGGAGGGAGTGTCAGACATACATATGTCGAATACCTATGTTTTATAACCCAGGAACAGATGAACAGTTGTGTCGGCGAATCGCTCGACGGTGAAAGGTTCTGTCGATGTAATTTTCAAAAGTGAATCGTTCTGTCGTAGAATCGTCGTCATTGAAAAGTTCTGTCGGAGACAAAAATGAAAAGTGAATCATTCTGTCGGTGAACTGACCAAGCAACGGCGAAACAACTGTCGGAGAAATGTTTCAGAATAGAAACTAGTAGAGCTTTTCTCAGTATATGAATACGTGTCTTACGACAGTTAGTTATATACATATTGCCATTTAGTTCGATGTATACTATCGACCTCCGCACCATTTGTCACTTTGGTCTTCTCCGTATTTACTTGGAGACAGACTTCTTTACTTTCGTAGGCTTGTATCATGGAATTATGCTTGTTGGGATCTTCTTCTAGAATGTAATCCGCAAACCTTAAATGATTTATTTACCTTACCTTATTAATTTAGATGGCTGCCGTTTATGTTTAGCCTATTGTTCTCCCAGTCCACATAATGATTGCAGAATCCACATCCCACAAGTCGACAATCACACGAGCATCTCAAGATATTTTACTTGCTTTGTCTTTTTCTGTTCAGCTTTCACGAGATTCTCGTCATGTGGGATTGTTCGATCAATTATATCATTGTGCGACGGCTTGATCGATCTATCACCACAATGTCAGGCTTATTAGGGACCATTGTCCTGTCTGTGATGATAGTTCGACTTCGACCCCAATACAGTGGGGACATCTCCATTAACAAGAACTGGATACAGATGGCAGATACATATTTAAGTACTTACTACGTTTTCGAATTACGAAAATAAGTACTCAGTAAGTTATGTCGTGTCAGGTATTCTTCAGAAAGTCAAGCTCTAGACCCATGACAAGAGCGTCCAGAGCGCAGATTATACATATCATGACAGTGCTAAACTAGCATGCCGACAGCCGGGCTCTACATGACATACTACGGGAGAATGTAATATGTCCTGCACCGTCGTAACCACGTACGAGATGGGACACGGACACCGGGGATGGTTTAGGGACACCGGGACCTAGTGAGTCTTCTTTTTTCATCTTCCCTAGGCAAGGGTCCTCCACAACCACTTGTCCATCACTAGTCCACCTTGGGATAGCAAAAAACCACCCACCGCCGGCCGTGTTTGTGGGACCAGACCAAAAAGAGAAGTCGATGTAAAAATATAATTATCATGTAGATATACTTTAATTTTAAGTGGTTGTTAATGGTTGTAGCAATAGTGTTATCCACTATGAACACCTGTACTTGTTTACATTGACTAATAATTTAGAAATTTAAGAAATGTAATGTATGTGTTACGATAAAGTCTTGGATCTGATAAACAATCTCGTACAAATTTTCACTAAACGCTTAAAATCCTCCCACACTCGTAGAAACCACTTCCTTCTTCTCCTGGCTGTTTCCCAACTCTGTTTTACATTTAAATATATTTATTAGAGTGGCTGTAATCCGCGCTCCACAGCTATTTAAGGATTACACATACATACAATACCAACAGTTGTACGTTTGTTAGGCTCTCCATAGTGTCATCAGTCATTGGTAATTATGGTAACCCCGTAACCGGGTGGTGGTGTAACGAATTCTGTAAGGCACGGCCCGTGCGGAGACTACGAAAGCACATCAGAATATATTTTAATCGGTTGGCGTAGCTGAACAAGTAGTAGCTTTGGCTATTTCTTAGCCACAAAATCACCATCATTTACAACGACTCAAATGATACATTGAAGACGTACTTAGCAGGCACTATTGACTCAAATGATAACAAAACACTGGGGCTTCACCTGCGTTCCAATAACATTATTAGCCTATATGTTGTTCCAGACGATAATCTATGTTCCAAATTTCTGTTGAGCCGTTTTAATGTGACTGAGTAAAAAAACTTACGCTCATACCCTGGTCGGTTTGAGCGTAAGTTTTTTTAGACGAGACACATTAAAATCCCATGTTCCTAAACGTTGTAATTAGTTGTATGTAGGTACCTACCTACAGTACCTACCTATATTTTGCCTGTGAGTCGCGTGATCTTAGTATATTGTTGTGCGATCTGTAGATGTCACAAAAGACGGTAAGAGAAATTGGTTTGGTAGCCTTCATTGTTTCGACCAAAGTGAAATCGTGGTCCAAAGTGAATACCTATTAGCAGCCTGTTGCTGTATTAGTGTAGGTATACTTACAGTTTGCCTACTCCAGTACTTCCATGAGAAGTGATTATTTTCTATGCATTATCGTACAGTCCATGAGATGAGAGTCGTAGTAAATACTGTAGCAAACGAACGTAAACGTCGCGTGGAGCGTTCAGCGTAGGTGTAGGTAGCGGAAGCAGGCGGAACTTCAGCAGTGTACGTGCGAGCGAGGGCGGGCGCGGGGTGCGGGGCGGGGCGCGAGGGGCGCGGCGGGCGCGGGCGCGTGGCACGCTGCCGTGTGCGATATTTAGCTAACCTTTGCGCGGTATTCTGGGCGCGCTATTTGCAGGCCCTCCGATAGCGGCGCTGAAATAGCCGGCACGCGCACCCATACGCACACACGCACATACACACTACTGCTACTTAACTCACGTAATGCTGATTTAGAGTGGTTAAACGAACAGAACGGAATGGGCAATTACATAGGTAAGGTAGGCTTATGACCTCATGACGGGAAGTATCCCATCACGAGCAGGGCTGCAGCTAACACGAGATGATGATTATCAGATGAAGAAAATGCCTAGACCTCCGGTAACCTCACTCACACCCACAAAACACAACTAATGACGACGTATGTATGGCTCGTGCTCATGCACGTCAAATTAACAAATTAATTTATTTGGTTATGACATCTACATGGTTACAATAATGAAGTCCTTCCAGAGATCCATTCAGATACATACAGATCCGTAGTGATAGAGAGACGAGTGGTAAAGGACCGACGACGACGAGCTTCCCATGCGTGCTGTGTCGAGTTCGAGTGTGTTCGACTGGTCGTAATCATCACGTTATCGGGCGCCGACTGACGCCACCACGCGCCGCGCGATGGTGCTCTGTGTGGCTGGTTGCTCTCTCAGTTACCTCAAGTGGTCGCGTCGCGCGTCGCTTCAGTATACTATAATACCATTGCAGGGATACAGAGGTCCAGGTTTAAAGGTAGAAAGTTTTAAATGTATGAGTATACCTAGCTACATGTTAGGATATTTACACAGAATGGGCTTTCATTATAGGTATCTAAAACATCATTCATTAGGTAAGTATTTTTCCATACCTAAACCGGATTTTCACGGGCTATAAATTCCGAGAAGAACTAGCTTGCACACCGTTACCAAGTCAATGCCGGTGTAGGCCTTCTTGTTTCTTAATACTCATTGTGCTGATTGTTTGTTACGACTTGAATGCAAATTCCTGAATGAAGACAGGCCTCTGAAGAACTGTGTTCGATTTATTTTCAGCCTGCGCGCTGCTTAACTATGATTAAACTTCTGAATAAGGCGGTTATCAAAGTTAAAGCCTTTAAAAATATTTTCTTTACAATACCTATGTGTATGAGACAACATCACCTTCAATCTGTTCGCACACTTTCACCGCACCTTTTGTATTTCTATTGGAATACCATTGTCATTCAAGCAGAAACTTCAAGAGGTTTAAGAATCCCACATAGCTAGGTATGGTAGGTAGATGAGCTTCTGCCTACGTTATGGCGGGCACAGAGGTGACACCCGTCAGAGTACTGACACTTCACTCCTCGCCTCAAATGCATACAACGCCGTCCTATATAAAAAACAGTCACTCGCATTCCATCCACAATCCCGTGTTCTCACGAGTGCACTGGATTGACCCACGGGGTCACACTCGAAATTATAGGTATTACCTATTAATTTGTGAAGTTTAAATAAAAGTAATTTTGTTCTACCAACTGCAGTGTTTTCTTTAAGAAGAGAACTTACCGTATCAAAATCTAATATATACAGTGCTGCGGTCGTGTATGGCTCCGATTGCTTATCGTCAGGTTATCCATCGGATTGTTTACACGTTCACCTATGATATATATAAAAAGAAGTACACACGGCCACACATCAATCTATACTGAACCAGTTCATCCTGGTGTCGCGTCGCATCATCTTTCCGCACATTTAACGTTCAGTTTATACTGGTTATGTAAAGCTCGATGTGTAGCCGTGTGTACAAAGTACCTAATACCTACCAGTTTCATATAAAAACATTAAACATGTGTCTATGTGTGTGTGTGTGTGCAGGTGCGGGATGTGTGCCGCGGCCACGCTGCTGCTGATGGCGGCGCTGCCGGCGCTCGCAGGTACCGTCATTCAATACAGTCAGTCAGTGAATACAATTCGAAAATTTTGTAATCAGATCAGTGGATGACCCCGTACGAAACTTACACCAGTTAATACTGATTATTTGAAGTAGGTACTTAGGTGGGTACAAGCTTTCTTGATTCTACACACTATCACAGAATCTAAGATTGATCTCACCCATCTCTTTGAACTTGACATAAAGCTTGATATAATGTACAATAGTTCTGCTCGCTCGCTCTGCCTCATCGGTGACAGCGGGTTTCACCACACATTAATGTCGGTAGTCGACCAGTCGAGTAGTCGATACTGCATTAGTTCCAAAGTGTGCCGTTGGCGCTGGCGCCGCAATGTGTATGCGTGTAAACATTTTAACTAGCGTTCCTTTCATCTTAACCGAGTCGTCTTTGTATTGCTCGGAGGAACAAAGTTCTTATTTCGTGAGCCAATTTTTATTAGGCCGATTTAAAGTTATAACAGTGTTCTGTAGCGGTAGGTACCCACAATATTACAAGTGTACCCGTGGTGTGGTGGTGGACCCGTATGCCATAGTTTCCTTTCTGCTAATTCGTGTGTACTACGGCGTCACAAAAATAACGCTAAGCGTTAAGTTTCGCCGTGTGAGTGAGGTTACCGTACCGGAAGCGCAATTCCCCTCTTCCCCAATCTACCCAAACCCCCAATCTTCATATCCAATAGCCAGTAACTTACTTGTAACTCCTCTGGGGTCGCGGGTGTCCATAGGCAGCGTCGAATATTCATTATTTATTAGGTGATTCGTCTGCTTGTTTGCCTATTTTGACTATATCCATCTTTGTGCCTCGTCTTTTTTTTTTTTTTTTTTAAGGGGGGAAAATCATCGAATGACTGCTCCCGCCTGGGTGAGGCGGAAGGGAGTGTCAGACTCTTACTGACTAAAAACCACCCCGTTCCTTCTCCTGCACGTCGAGCCGGAGCCCCGGTTACCCGTTAGGTTCTCCGCGACTCCGAATCGGCATCGGCCCTGTTGGGCCCCATCTGTGGTGGTCTGATGGCTCTTCGAGGCGCGCGCGGAACGCGACGCGCCGTACGCTCGGGTCTGTTTCTGGTCAGACGTGGAGGCACCCATGTTCGCCGTCCGCAGGCCCGCGCTTACGGTGGCCGGAGATCGTCCCGCGATCCCCGACGCCCGGTGGGTCCTTCGTGATGGCTGGGTTGCGAGGAGGCAGCGCTTCGCTGCCTTACGCGTCCCGCCTCCTCCTTAGCAAGCATTACTGCTTCGCAAAAGGAGGAGACGGCATCCCAGTCCCCCTCGCTCCGCATCATGACCTGCACTAGGCCCGGACGCTAGAGGTCGCCATCGCCGATCACTTCCCTGAGGGCACGGCGGTGCTCAGCCCACGCAGGGCATTCCCCACTGTGTGTTCCACCGTGTCCTCAGGGCAGTCCTCGCAGTGATGACACCCGGGCCTTTCCTCCCGCCCCATCAGATACAGGTACCTCCCGAAACTTTCATGTCCGGTGAGAATCTGCGTCAGGCGGTAGGTGAGGACGCCGTAGCGTCTCTCAAGTCACTCCTCAAAGAGGGGACTTACCGCTGCAATGGCAGCGAGCCCAGCCCTCGGTTGCGACAGTCGTTGCTGCCATTCCGCCATGAGATCGCGCCAGAGCTCTTCCCGTCATCAGTCCAAAATAGCCAAAAAGATAATATGCATAAACTATCAAATTTACAGAATGATAATAATAATACGCATCTCCATTTGCAAATAATTATGTAATTGCATACAATGTGAGCTTCACTTTAAAGTTATTAGTTTATTTATGTGTAGCATTCGTATTTCGTGTGGTAATGTGCAGCAGTTGGGCGGTGGGCGCTCGTAGCTCGTAGCTCGTAGTGGTTGCGCCTGCGCAGGCGACGCGGTCGTGGTCGGGGCGTTATTTCGAGCGGTTACTCTACTATCTGAACCGGCAATGTCACAATGCGGTTAATTGCTTCTATTTTGGCGCCACTTATGAGCAAGCTTAAACTACCCAAGGTTAATGTTCTAAAGAAAAAAACGAGCTAGCTGCTAGTTCGTAAACAATACTAGTTACCTAGTCAATAGGTAACGTACTACTCACGTTAACAATAGTTATACTAATTTTTATGATAAGTACCTATTACACAGTTTTTTTTGTCGGGGGAAAATCATCCAATGGCTTCTCCCGCCCGGGTAAGGCAAGAGGGAGTTTCAGACTCTTACTGACTAAAAACCACCCCGTTCTTACTTCTGCACTTTGAGCCCCGGTAACCCGTTAAGTTCTCCGCAGCTCCGTATCGTTTTGCTTATTATATCATTTGCACTGGCCCTCCGTGCAGAGCGCAGCGCTCCGATATATCGGATGTTCATTGTTTCATTGTTACCCTGTCACTGGCGGTGGTACTTGAGCTGTGCACCTGCAGCGTGTGGGGCGCATGCGCACGTGCGCGGCGCCCGCATCCGCCTGACTCACTGCTCGCTCAGCTGAAGCACATTGTAACATAACTACAGCTGCTAAATACACCACTTACTTGTCCCTTTATTGATAACTAGCAGCCCGTCCCGGCTTCGTACGGGGTAGATATTTATTTATTTTTGGGAATTTGGATTGTTGTATTGACATAACTATAATAATTGGACATATGCTACCGCGGAGTTTTTTGTAGATATTATGATGTTCTTCAATATTGTTGTACACTATTTTGTTCTATCGCTAATAGTTTCGGAATTCGACGAAAGACATTTTAAGACTAATTTTTCTATACCTTCGGTTACATTATTCAAATTTTACCAAGGATCCCTAATGTTTTTCAAAAGCCTATGTCAAATTGGAAGAATGTAGCATTCTATTGGTGAAAGATTTTTTTAAATCAGCCCAGTACTTTTTGGGCCTATTCATTACAAACATACAAAAATAGGTACAAATCTTTCCTCTTTATAATATTAGTATAGATTTGCTACTTCTACGGGATTTCACCCGCCCTGCTCAGCTCTAATTGATCGAAGCGTGATGTTTTATAGCCTATATGAATCTTAGGTCATCCCCGATAAATAAAATATCAAAAAAAAAAAATTATTCGATAAACTGGTAAACGAGCAGACGGATCACCTGATGGTAGGCAATCGGCGCCGCCTATGGACACAAACACCAGAGGCGTTACAAGTGCGTTACCGGCCTTTTGGGATTAGGAATTTGAGGATTGTTGGGGATTCGGGAATTGGAAAAGGGGAGGACGGGTAATTGGGGCTCTGGTACGTTACGTCTCACTCACACGACGAAACACAACGCTTGCGTTGTTTCACTATGGTCTTCTGGTCGTCGGTGGTATCAGTCCGGTGGAGCCGGCCCACTCGTGCGGAAGCTTGGCTCTCCCACACATCATTTTTCAAATCGGACCAATAGTTACTGAGATTAGCGCGTTTTTGTTCGACAAACAAAATTCTTCAGCTTTATAATAGATATAAAAATAGTATAAGATATGTAACTAGGTACCTAAATTATTTCCGGGTTAATTCTTGAAACTTCTGATTTAAGTAGGTAGCTATGTGAACTAGATTTTGCCCTACACTGGGATTTTCGCCTATATCATAGATGCATCTACAAACACACGGACAACCATTTCTGGGTCTCACAAGTCACAAGTAAGCAATCTGATTTGGCAATATCTGACCATTTCGAATGCTGTCACGCATGACGCAGCGCCTACATGTTTTGTGTAGTTTCAGTCGTGAGGCGTGGAATATTCGCGGCATCTGTAATAAAAATACTTTTGCCTGCATTTCGCATACATTACGGTCGTATAAGTAAGTAGTTACCTACACATGTATGTGACATACATCCGCTCCCCGTGAATGAGCCGTGACGTCACACTCCGTACTCCTGCTCGGGGCGCGGCCCGACTGCCCACCAGATGGCACGGCTCTGATTCACTGCCCTCACTCGCCGGGAACAATGTAAACTATGTGGTTCTTGGAACAACTCTGAATCTGAATATACCAAACTGAATGTCGTGTGGATTGGTATGCGGCGCCAGACCACGGAAGGTTGCGGTGATAGTTTCGATAGACTGCACTGCACAACACGATACGACAGAATATAGGACTGGGTTTTTACATTTATTTATTTCACCTTTATGTCAACGTAATAAACGTGCACGCATGCCAAATTACAACATTCTTGTCCCAATACTTTTCAGCTAAGCATGACGAATTTATAAGGGTTCCTTGTTGATTACGAAATCCTAAGAAGGGAGAAGTGGAGATATAGTTATTGATGCATGGTTCACAGGACAGGGCCGGTGGTGCGCGGACGGCGAGGTGGTGGCGCTAGAGGGCGCTGGCCCGGCCTTCGCCCCGCAGCAACACACCGCCGTGCTGGCGCCCGCCGGCCACGCCGCCACCCTCGACTGCCGCGTGCTGCGGCTGCGTGACAAGTCGGTCAGTTTATTCCTTCCATCACTGCCACTGACTGCACTTTAATGAAATAGGATTACAAATTAATTTATTGATGACAATGCCAAAAAATATTACACACATACGGGTCGAATTGATATCCTCCTTTTTTGTTGAAGTCGGTTAAAAAGAAGAAGCGATACAGCACAAGCTGAACGTAACGTAACGTACAATGTTATGGATTAAAGAATAGCAGAAAACGAACCATGTTTAAGTGTGGGAAAGCCATGCTTCGGCACGAATAGGCCGGCTCGACCGGAGTGATACCACGGCCGAGCAGAAAACCGACGTGAAGCAACGCTTGCGTTGTGTTTCGTCGTGTGAGTGAGGTTACCGGAGGCCCAATTACCCTCCCCTTCCCCAATCTCCCCAATCCCTGAATCCCCAACGATCCTCAAACTCCTAATCCCCAAAAGGCCGGTAACGCACTTGTAACGCCTCTGGTGTTCCAGGTGTCCATGGGCGACGCCGATTGCTTACCATCAGGTGATCCGTCTGCTCGTTTACCGGCTTATGCCATAAAAAAAA